CTTTTTGCTTTAGAGTGCTTTTTACAGTGAGATCTTGCTTTTTGCTTTAGAGTGCTTTTTACAGTGAGATCTTGCTTTTTGCCTTGGGCCCATCCTACTTACAAGCCTCCAGCATAGCCAGGATGAGAGGCACACTACTGTGCCCAGCTTACAGATTTGACAGGGTTTTTTGTTTGTTTGTTTTGTTGGTTGTGGGGCTTGAACTCTGGGCTTGGGCACTGTCCCTCAGCTCTTCAGCTCAAAGCTAGTGCCCTACCACTTGTGCCACAGCGCCACTTCTGGTCTTCTGGTGGGAACAGACTTTCCTGCCTGGGATGGCTTTGAACCGTGATCTTCAGATCTTAGCCTCCTGAATAGCTAGGATTACAGACTGAGCCACTGATACCTACTAGGGGTTCTTGCTTTTTTTGGGAGGGGGTCAATTGTGGGGCCTGAACTTTGGGCCTGTGTGCTGTCCCTCAGTTCTCAGCTCTCAGCTCAAGGCTAGCACTCTACCACTTTGAGCCACAGTACCTCTTCCAGGTTTTTCTACTTATGTGGTGCTGAGGAATTGAACCCAGGGCCTCATGTATGCAAGGCAAAGCACTCTACCATGGAGCCACCTCCCAGCCCAGGGTTCCTTTTTTTTTTTTTGGTTGGTCATGGGGCTTGAACTCTGGGCCTGGGTGCTGTCCCTAAGCTCTTTAGCTCAAGGCCTGTGCTCTACCACTTGCCACACTTCTGTTTTTCTTTTCTTTTCTTTTTTTTTGGGTCCAGTCGTGGGGCCTGAACTCTGGGCCTGGGCGGTGTCCTTCAGCTCTTCAACTCAAGGCTAGCACTCTACCACTTGAGCCACAGCGCCACTTCCGGCTTTTTTTCTGTTTGCTTATGTGGTGCTAAGGAATCGAACCCAGGGCCTCAGGCATGCAAGGCAAGCGCTCTACCACTGAGCCACCTTCCCAGCCCCACACTTCTGTTTTTCTAAATGTTTTATTGGAGATAAGAGTTTCATGGACTTCCTGCCCAAGCTGGATTTGAACCACGATCCTCAGATCTCAGCCTCCTGAGTAGCTAGGATTACAGGCGTGAGCCACCTGCGCCCAGCCAGCCCGGGGTTCTTGTTTTTTAACCCTAGCTGGCCTCAAATTTCAATCCTCCTATTTCAAGTTGTTTGGCTTGCAGATGTGAACCACACACCAATCCCCATATTATCTTTGACTTTTTCTATTTCATCTTTTCTTATTTTTTGGGACAGGTTCTCTATCATCCTTTCTTGGCCTCCCAAGTGCTAGGACTATCGTCAAGTGCATGCCACCATGCCCATCTGTAAAATGAATAAGCTTTGAAAGCCACACTCTCATATTTTCTTTTTCTTTCTTTTTTTTTTTCCTTTTTTTTTTTTTTTACAGTCATTGGGCCTGAACGCTGGGTCTGGGCGCTGTCCCTCAGCTCTTCAGCTCAAGGCTAGCACTCTACCACTTGAGCTACAGCACCACTTCCAGCTTTTTCTGCTTATGTGATGCTGAGGAATCGAACCCAGGGCTTCATGCATGCAAGGCAAACAGTCTACCGCTGAGCCACCTTCCCAGCCCCACACTCATATTTTCCCAAAAATTCCCACTCACTAAATACATGTGAAGACCACCTTTAGTTATTTTGAGATAGGGTCTTACTATGTAGCATAGGCTGACCTGAAGTGCTAAGGTTATAGATGTGTACAATATGCTTCACTTTATGTAAAAACGTTAAAACCTGACCAAGAATTCAGGAAATGCTGGAAGTGATTATTCTCTGAGTTAATTAAGGACCTTCTAATTGATATCTGTAGCTCATCCCTCTCCTTCCTGAGCTTCAATTCCTGTTTCTACTTGTTAAAGAACTCACATGGTCCTTCAAGCCAGTACCATTTCTCTATTCTTTGTTCATTCATGGTTGATATATTAGACACTTAGAACATTAGGGTTGTCTTTGAAGACTAGGCATAACCTGTCAGTTGGTAGTTTACCTACTAATTTGTAAATTTATTATTTTTTCTTGGCCAGCCCCAGGTTTGAACTCAGGGCCTGGGCACTGTCTCTGAGCTTCTTTTTGCTCAGAGCTAGCTCTCTACCATGTAAGTCACAGCACCACTTCTGGCTTTATCTGTTTATGTGTGATACTGAAGAATTGAACCCAGGGCTTCATGCATGCTAGGCAAGCACTCTACCACTAAGCCACATTCCCAGTCCAGTAAATTATTTCTTTAATCTTGTATTAGTTCTTTAGTTCGTCTACACTGTCCCCTGCCCCTTCTGCTTGCCATACTTCTCACTGCCCAGTCCTTGCCCCCTCTATTTTACATTTCAACTTCAAAAGGCTTTTTTTTGGCCGGGGCAGGGAGGGTGTGTGTGTGGAGTTCTAGTGCTTAAACTCATTCTGGGCTTGAATGATTTCCTGGACTCCCTAGCTCAAGGCTAGCATTCTACCATTTGGGCCACAGTGCCACTTCAGCTTTTTCTGTGATTAATTAGAGATAAGAGTTTCATGGACATTCCTGTCCAGGCTGGCTTTGAACTGCAATCCTCAGATCTCAGACTCTAGGATTACAGGCATGAGACACCTGTGCCTGGCTTTCAAAAGACTTTACTGATTCTGTAACACTGCCTCAATCTCTTAGGCGTATCCTTTTCCTATTTGACTAATTTTGCTTGTCCATCATAATTCAGCCTCGGCATCATTCCTTTAGGAGACTGAATTTGAAAGATGCAGGAATTAGGTGTTGATAGTATTCTCTAGTAAGCTTTAGTATTAAAAATTACACTGTTAGAGAACCTAAAGGTCATTGAGTTGTTTTGTTTGTTTGATTTTGGTCAGTCGTAGGGCGTGAACTCTGGGCCTGGGTACTGTCCCTCAACTCTTCAGCTCAAGGCTAACAGCTTGAGCCACAGTACCACTTCCAATTTCCTGGAAGAGAAAGAGAGGAGAGAGGCTGGGATTTGAACCTAAGTCAGAACCAAGTGCAACGTGCTTTCCAACATGCTTTCTGTTACATCTTGCAGCCAATCTATAGGAAGTTCTGTTGAGGAAGAAGTTCTGTTAAGGAACAGCAGTAGAATCTCCTGGCTGGAGAAATTGGTACATGAAGAGCCACAATGACAATGGCAGAGAGGTTTTGATTTTTATGACCTTTACCTTCTAAAAAGAGGAAACATCTAGACCGTAGAACAAAGGCTTGGGGTATATGTATATGTGCATACGTGTGTGCATTTGTGTATGCTTGCACATGTGTAGGAGGAGACTTTGAGAGTGGGTGGTTGGGGGGAGAAGGAAAAAGCATTGCACTTCTGCCTTTTAATGCCTGGTTCTTCATCATATTTGAATATAGTGTGATCCATTGCCAGGTGCTTCAGAGGCCAGCAAACAGGCTTGCACATTTGAGTAATTTCCCTCATACTAAAGGGACAATAAAGCATTTTGGGATTTTTATTTTAATTAATTTTTTTACAAATTATCTGTCCCTAATACTGTAATGGGAAGACTTTGTTACAGTAGTGAAGTAAAAATTGGTTAGGTCTTTTGACGTTCATGGAATGGACAAATACTAGTTTGATTTGATTTAATGTTGGTACCAAACAGTTGGGCTGTTTCTTTAACAGGAATCTCAGCTGGTGGCTGGTGTTGCGTTTAAGAAGACTTTCTCTTATGCTGGGTTTGAAATGCAACCTAAGAAGTACAAAAACCCCATGATTGCCCTTTTAAATGTTGAGCTGGAGCTGAAAGCTGAGAAGGATAATGCTGAAATCAGAGTCCACACAGTAGAGGTATGCATCTCCACCAGTCCTGCAGAGCTAGTGGGAATAGGCAGATTTATGGTCCAGGGCCTTGTATTTTGGCTGGCTCAGATCATCTCTACTTCTGAGCTTCTTGTGGGTCTTTCTCCTTTTCTGTGTTTAGAAGCTGGGTCCATTACTTTCTCTCTGAGTGACTCAACTTGAGGTGATCTGGATATGGAAGACCCATTGAATTCCTATGCTTTGGCTCTGAGAATGGGGTTGGCTGGCACTCTCCAGCTTTTACAAAGCCTGCCTGCTTTTTTATTTTGTTTGAAAGTATTAAGTGGTTCCTGTCAATTTAAGGGCCATTGTCAGTCTACCCGTTAAATAGATCAGATGAACCAGCACTTTTTTGCCAGGGGGTGGAATATATATTTTAGCCTATCATACATGCCAACCTTCATCTAAAGTGTACTCATCATTTTCTGGATCTCTTCAGGATTATCAAGCAATTGTCGATGCCGAATGGAACATTCTCTATGACAAATTAGAGAAGATTTACCAGTCTGGAGCCAAAGTTATTTTGTCTAAACTCCCCATTGGAGATGTGGCCACGCAGTACTTTGCTGATAGGGACATGTTCTGTGCCGGCCGCGTGCCTGAGGAGGATCTGAAGAGGACAATGATGGTAACTAAAATTTCATAGACATGAGGGTTTTTTTACCCTTGGTATAATGGAGTAGTTTCAGTTGGTTAGTTTCCCACTTGCTGCTGTTTGTGTGCCTAGTAATAACTCTTTATCAAGTCAGGAAGTAAATCTGGTTTGTGATGGAACCAAGCAATAATGTTCTTAACAGCTAAACAAACTCAACTAGTGATGCCTGATGTTTTCCCTTTAAGTATCTTATATGTGATGCTTTTAGGTCTAGATTATCACCCCTGGGTTCATTTGCTGGGCCTAAGGCACCCTGCTTTCAGGTGGGGAGTTTAAACTGAAGCAAAGGGGTCCACGTTCTCTAGATCTGTCTCCTGAGTAGCTAGCATGAGTGACCAGTGCCTGGTCCCTATTTCTTTAATCAGGTGTACTTCTCTATCATGTTTTGTTCTGTCTTTTTTCTACTGGGGGAGTAGCGGCGGGAGGGGGGTTGCCTAGAGAGAAGGAAAAGTACTTTATCAGAGGCCTCCATGTTGCTGTGGCAGGAAGCCAACTAGTCTTGTTGTGAGCCTTCACTGTTATCATACTTTCCTTGCTTAGGCCTGTGGAGGCTCAATCCAGACCAGTGTGAATATTCTGAGTCCAGATGTGTTGGGTCATTGCCAGGTGTTTGAAGAGACACAGATTGGAGGGGAGAGGTAAGTAAGTGTATCTGGACTACCTGTAGGCTCAGCTGATAAGAACTCTGCATTATCTTCTGGATGTGGCATGTAGCTTTCATTGTTCCTTTTGGTGGGGGGGCTACCTTTTTGAGGCCATATAGAGCTCAAGTACACAGGACAGGGAAAAGATCTAGTTGGACCTTATGTCTGATTCTGTGGTCTTTGATCCTCAGGGGTACAGTCTCGGACTTCCCAAAGAAATGCCTTTTAGGACTGGGATTGAGTACCCTGAGTAAAGAACAGAAGAGCAATTGCTAAATGTTGGGAGGGGTTGGCCAAGTGAAGTGACATGACAGGAAGGAGTTCATGTGTGTATGATTTCCTGAATGTAGGTACAATTTCTTCACTGGCTGCCCCAAGGCTAAAACTTGCACCTTTATCCTCCGTGGGGGTGCTGAACAGTTCATGGAGGAGACAGAGCGATCCCTTCATGATGCCATCATGATCGTCAGAAGAGCCATCAAGGTACTGGGCTAGTTGGCCTCCTTTTGGCTGACCAGACCTTGGATTTTTGTGTTGATCTCTTTTCTATATAATGTACTCTTCTCTGGTGGCATAGTGGGCCATGATTTTCCCCGCAAATCATGGAGAAACTGAGCCTCCATCCCAAAAATGGGTCACACTGTCCTAAATGCTAGTTTGTTATTGTTATTAACGTGCAGTCAACTATCCTAGTGATGATGCTAGTGTCCTCCAACTAGTGACCCTTGATGGTAAACTTCAAGTTCTTCTACAGATAGAAGTTGGAATGTGCTAGATAGCCATATCTGAGCTTCTGAGACTAGGGGTGGAGGAAGAAATGAATGACCCAGCTTGGAACTAGACTAGAGGCCTGCTTGCATTAAAAAGTGGTCTGATTTCTACAGAATGATTCAGTGGTGGCTGGTGGTGGGGCCATTGAGATGGAGCTCTCCAAGTACCTGCGAGATTACTCAAGGACTATTCCAGGAAAGCAGCAGCTGTTGATTGGGGCCTATGCCAAGGCTTTGGAGATTATCCCACGCCAGTTGTGTGACAATGCTGGTTTTGATGCCACAAACATTCTCAACAAGCTGCGGGCTCGGCATGCCCAGGTAGGTCCTTATCAGGGTGCAGGATTGGGTGTATGGGGTTGGGTTCTGAGTGTTGTGCTGTGCTTACTTAAGGTGTGTACATTCAACATGGCTGATGGCTAGAACTAAATACTGCAAAGTACCTGCCTCCTTTTCAGTCACAGGGAACACCGTGATGCCATGCCTCGAAATAGCTTATGAGAGAAGGCCTAGTTTTTGTTTGGTCAGCATACCCAGGGTTGGAGAGAAATAGTTGGCAGACAGGTTTTTGTTGTGACACCATGTTATATGTTCAGAGTGGAGATTACTGGCAATCGTACTCTTTTGAAGAACACAGAAGAAAATTGAGACTGTTTCCATATTGCTTCCTTTCTTTTCCTCCTCTTTCAGGGGGGCATGTGGTATGGGGTGGATGTCAACAATGAGGACATTGCAGACAACTTCCAGGCCTTCGTGTGGGAGCCAGCTATGGTGCGGATCAATGCCCTGACAGCAGCCTCTGAAGCTGCATGCCTTATTGTGTCTGTCGATGAGACCATCAAGAATCCCCGCTCCACTGTGGACACTCCTCCAGCGGCTGGCCGGGGCAGGGGCCGAGTCCATTAAGAGGCATCGCTTCCTGGCTGGCAGGCTGCTGTGGGTCTACTCACCCTCCCTGGCTTGATGTATTGGTGTAAAAGGAAGTGATAGTAATGGGTCCACTTTACTCACTGAAGGTTATTTAAATAAAATTGAATGCTTAGAATTAACTTTTGTAAGTTGTTTTGGCCCAATAGTTTGTTTTCCTAGTTGCTTTATTACTGTCATTATTATTGGTGGTGGTGGTGGTTGTGGTGGTGGTATTGGGGTTTGAAATCAGGGCTTCCCACTTGGTAGACAGACACCCTACCTACCACCTGAGCCAGCCACCAGCCTATTGGGACAGTAGTTTTACTCATAAATAACCTACTGCCTCTTAGAATTTAGGCTTTGCTTTTACTCACCAAGTGGGTAGGAGAAAATTCTCTTCTGGTCTGGGTGAGCTCCTCTAGAATGGTGCCTGTCTGGAAGTTTCACCGTGATTACATTTTTTGGTCCTGAAAGTGGCTAGGAGATGTATGGTGATTCTGTCGCATCTTACTTGGTTCTGTGTAGCCTGAGCTCTGTGCCCAGGGCTTCATGGATTTGAGAAGGTATATTTCTGGCTCAGCCTTCTTACTCAGGATTTGACTCTAGGAGGGATGTGTTGGGAAGGTCACATAATCTTTGATCTCTGGTGACCTCTGTAGTCTATTGAGATGGTAGCTGGCGGAATACCTACCTAGTTTGTCTTTTTAGCTGCCAGAGGGTGGTCTTCTGGATTTCTTCTGCTTTCTTAAATGACCCAGTGGAAGTTTGGAATGGCTGAAAAATCCAGCAGGATCTACCAACTACCTCATTAAACTGGTCTAGGTAACTAGCCTTGCTAACTAGCCTGCAGCTAGAGCTGTGGTTATTTGTGAAGCTGGTGATAAATGATTGTTGCCTTGGTTTGTTGAGTCAATTTTGGAAAAATCTGCACCTTGGGGTTATTTAGACTTGGAAGTAGAATGAAGTAGTACGCAAGTCCGTGCATAGACCCAGCACCCCTCCTGTAACATAGTGGTCTTTAGGTTATTTTCTGAGCTCAAATGTTTTACCTGCAAGGTAAGAACATCTGGCTCACAGATGTTACTGGGATTAAATGTTCATTCTAAGTGAAGTTTAAGTCAAAGCTTCTGTTCTTTTCTTTTTGGTGAATTTAGGACCCTAGTAGTCGAATTAGTACCACAAGCCCATTTTGTAACATTAGTAAATCTGTGGTGGCAACTGATCTGCAGTTAAAGCCCAACTGGCTGGCCAGAGCCTCCTGAGGAGATGACTTGAGGGGTAGGACGTCTGCTGCACCTACTGTACTTGCCGAGTTTGCCCTTGAAAATGTCCTCTGCCAGCCAAGGGTCAAGAAGCGTCTTGTCCCAGGGTTGATATACAGACATTGGAAGCAGGATTTAGATTATGATAGGAACAGACCTGGATGGCCTTCCTCCAGCATTTTCTGTAGTCCTAAAACTAGTCTTCCTAACTCTTCATTGACCCCATTGATGCTGATTGGATGATCTGCTTCAGTATACGTTAGCAACAGAAAGGCTGTGATGAGAGACTGACAAATATGGCCACATGCCACTTCTCTGGTGCACATATACCAGTTTCACCATCTTTTATTGGATACAGAGTCATAAATTCTCTGATGCCCATGGGTCCTTTTAAATACATACACTCAAGGTACATTCTGCAAGGGCATCTATGGGTAACGTTGAGCAAAGTGCTGGGGTGGCATTGCCTGGGTGGAGCAGAGAAGTGGGGCCAAGGAAGGCCCCCTGGGGGCTGGAGGTACAGGCACCACTTTAGAAACAAAAGTAAAACTAAGTTGCTCTCCACCCTCTGCCAGATATGCTTGGGGTAGAGGAAAATACCATCTCACACAGTGCAGGCTAGTGCAACCTGGCTGTGCGGGAAGGCCGGCCTAAGGGCCATTTGTGGAGGTCCCACCAGGAGCACCCTCTAGAGCTAAACCCACTGGCACTAGCCATGAAGTAAGTCTAGGAAACTTCAGGCCTCTGCCTCTGGGTACAAGACCCCTGCAGGGCAAAGCTGCCTCTGCTGGCAGTGGCAGAGGGTAGGCTTGTGGTGGGGTGCCTGCCTGATTGTCAGGGCAGTCTTGGGACTGACAAAGGTCCCGAGGAGTTGGGGAGGGAGGCCCTGATATTCTACTCTTCACCCAGTCCTCAGGCAAGGCCTACAGATCACTTGTCCAGGAATAAACACATACACACAATACACAGTAATATATACAAAGATGTGGCCTGGAACAAGGCTGGAGGAGAAAGCATAGCCATCAGTAGAAGTGCCAGGCCCCTGGGAAGGAAGTTATATTCATCAGTGACTGGTATCCTAAAGCTGACCTCATCAGTGGGTTAACTCCTCTGGCACTTGAGCCATACTCCACTCACTGCTACTGTTTCTACTCCAATTTTGCCAGGAACTAGGTCTTTGGCACCAACTGTCACTCAGAAAGTTTCTTCCCAACTTTGCACCTTAGAAGGATTGGGACCTTGGAGACAGACAGGACCCAAAAGCAAAGGGCAGAGCCAAACCTTGGTGCACTAGGCCTTGGGAGAGAGGCTTTTTCTCCCCCCACCCCCGTTTCCCCTTTAAGCAATCCCTGAGGAACCGGCTCAACCTCTACTGTCTCAGGGCAAAGAAAACATGAATGACTTGGTCTCAAGATGGTCTCTCCTGGATGGTGGAAAGCTGGAGATAGTAGATATGTGAATACATCTCACACACACACACACGTGTGTGTGTGCGCGCATGTGTGTCTGTGTGTGTGTGAGCCTTTTTCCTGCCAGTGCCATGGGGAAAGCCTAAATAAAGCATGAAGTAATCAAGACAAATGTGCTGAAACTTCAGGCATTTCAGCCAGGCTATATGGCAGTAAGAGTGATAGGAATGCCAAGTAGACACCAGCCTGGAGCCTCTCCATAGATCTCAGGTCCCTTGGAACACAGCCTGCCTTGGTTTGCTTCTTGTTTTACATCTTATTGGGAATGAGACAGGAGGAAGGACTCTCCTTTGAGGGGGTAGAGATGGAGTGAAATGCTCCTAAGGAAGCCAGGCCCCCTGACCTGGTTCCCTGTCTGCAACCCATGTGTAATGGCAGCCAAGAAAGTAAATAGGGTATCCCAGCAAGCAAAAGCACCCCATTAGACATCAGGGCTCATCCCCTTGGGAGAAAGCAAATGAACAGAATGAAGGTGGGGGTGGGGGCTGCAAAGCTGCTGGTTCTCAGGGCATGCATAAAAGCCGGGGCATTCAGAGCTGTCAGCCCAGGGGTATGTGTACAAGGGACACATTGTGACCTGTTACTTGTGTTGGCAAAAGCTCAGGCCTGTGCAGTGGGAACACAGCCTTTGTTCACAGTTAGAAAATACATGGTGAGAACTTGCTGGCTTTCCTGGAAACAGTCTGAGGGCAGTCATGCACCAGGGAGGAGTCTGATTCCCTACAGGGCTGCTATAAAGTGATTGATGAACTGTTAGTCCTTTTAGCTCTCAGTTCACAGCCTATGCACCTTGAGCCCCACCAGGGTTGACAGCCAGTGTCCCAGTGGACATCACTGGGGAGAAATTGCTCAGTCTTGTGTTTGGAGATGGGGGCTCCTTGGGGCATATAGAACATTTCTCAGTTTAGCAGGCTTAAGCCAAACAAGGCATCCCTTTGTGCTTTGTCCAGGAGTCAAGGAGGGTAGCACCTCTGGTCCTAGGGTCACAGGGAGCAGGACTACAAGAGTACAGCTTGCAAGGTAGTTCACACAGTGCAGCCGGCTCTAAGTGGACCTCCACCTCTTCTTAACCTCTCAAGCAAAGTGTGCTGCTGTTTCTTGTGACTCCTGGGGAAAGGGCTGGGGAGGTGGGGAGCAGATGGAGGCAGCTGCTGAGGGTTAGGGTAGGTGTGCCACACATCCAAGGCTTTATGCAAGGCTGGACATGGAGTAGCCAACAAGATACCGTTGGCATTTTAGGTCTTTACAAGCCACAGGAGGAAAAATCAGAGCAATGACAGAGCCAGAAGAGCTCTAGGAGCTCAGTGCATTGCTGAGCCCCAGGAGAGGAACTGTTGGAAGATTATCCAAGGCTATCTTTGATATCAGACTAACTTGTGGCACAGCCAGATCCCAAGAGAAGATTGGGAAACAAGAGGATTCCAACCCCAGCTAGGCCAGCAACCAAATGTCTAAACTGGGAGTAAAGGAAACCCTAAGATGGACTTAGGTTGGATACAGGAAAGAGCCGTCCAAATGAAGATTTTGCAAGGCCTGTGGATTTTGCAAGCCCACAGGAGTTCTGAGAGGAAGAGTTAGGGGTATTTTAGTCTTCGGAGGCTTGCTGGAACCTACCTCATCCTTCGGAAACTAAAAGGTGAAGACCTTCCACTAGCGTTCTGTGGTTTCTGAGTCCTGAGAAGGACCCTAATGTAGCCTCTGCTCATGACTGATGGAAACCTGGTGACAGAGGAGGGAGTTGAGTCTGTTCAGATGTTCTTCCTTGGTCTCAGGGCTGGCTCCCTAAAGCTGCATGCTTCAACAAGCTAATTAGATCAGGAAACAAAGTAAGCCACCCTCCTCCAGGCTCCAGCACAGTGGGAAGCTCAGTGCCTCCTCCCCAACAACTTTGGTGTCCCAAAGGCCAGAGTACCCAAGCACCTGGGTTAAGAGGAAATTCCTTCTCACTGGAGCTGGCTTCCCAGGGCTAGGATCTTGACCCTCCCTTGGTTCCCTGGAGATTGAAGGAGCTATAAAAACATGCACCTTACAGCTCTCAATTTAGCTCTTGGAGTGTGGTGGGGAGTGTGGTGGTTGGGAGGAGAAATCTCAGCAAAAAACTTCCTCCATCTGGCATCCTCCCTCTGCTGCCACCTTAGGAGGGTGGTCTGGTCTCATCCTGTGAAGAAATTCTAAGGGACTTCTCTTTTCAACTCACTGTAGCCACCTCCACAGCTTTCAGCTGACCACATGCCCAGGTCCCTAGGCCTGCTGGGACTGTAGCCTCAGATGATGTGGGCCTAGAACCTAGGTGAGCTATCTGAAGGGGTTGCCCCAAAAAGAGCGGGGACAGGAGAGGAAAGGCAAAGAGCCCCTCCCTGCTAAGTCTGAGCTGCCATGTGGAGTCCGCTCTAGCCAGGGGTCTGACAGGCCCCTGACTGG